TAAACCTTATATCATCGCAACATTTCTATGTCAGTCACGGGAAATTCAACTCTTGTTTAATTAAACTTAATTAAAATGCAATTCTCCATTGTATGCACTAATATAATTGTACCATACCTTCCCCCGATACTAAACCTATGCTTCGCAAACATTTCTATGTTCAGTCACGGGAAATTCAACTCTTGTTTAATTAAACTTAATTAAAATGCAATTCTCCATTGTATTGCACTGAAATTGAGTTTAATTAAACTCCAATTAAAACAAACCCTATATAGGAACGCATTTTAATCGAGTTCATATCGCAACTATATTAAAAGTTAATTGAACTATATTAAAAGTTAATCCAATGAAGTCCTCGGAACATATAGCAATACAAGTATGTGTGTATGTGTGTGTGTATGTGCCCGCCTGTTCCACTGATATCTCAAGAACCATACATCAGTTTTTGACGAAACTTGGTGCATAGATTCTCTGGGCTAATGCGCAGATTTGATTAGGTTTTGGTAAAATGTCATGCATATTAATTATTATTATAATTTTTAGCTGTTCCATGACTGTTCCATTGATATCTAAAGAACCACTTATTAGATTTTGATGAAACTTGGTACATGGATGCTCTGAACTAATGCTTGGTTTTGATTAGTTTTTGGTAAAATTTACCTAATTACTAATTACCTAATTTGCATAATGATTAGTCAATTTTCGGGTTTTCCACTGATATCTCATGTACTCATCGTCACAATTCAATCATCACATTTCATCACATTTCAATTTTCAGCTTTTGATGTTTCAAGTAGTAAGCATTACATTTCAATGAAACTTGGTACATAGATACTCAAGGACTATGCAGAGATTGATTGTTTTGGGATAAATATTTGTGCATATTAATTACCTAATTTGCATAATTAGTTAATTTTCAGCTTTTCCACAGATATCTCAAGTACTAATTATCACATTGCAATGAAACTTGGTACATAGATCCTTTAGGACTATCCAGAGACCTGATTAATTTTAGGGTAAATAATTGTGTATATTAATTACCCGATTTGCATAATTAATTAATTTTCAGCTTTCACACTGATTTCTCAAGTACTAATCATCACATTTCAATGAAACTTTCTACATGGATGCTGTAGGACAATAGACAGACCTGGATAATTGTGGGTTAAAATCTGTACATATTAATTACTAATTTACATAATTAACCACTTTTAAGCTATCACACTGATATCTAAAATACTAATTATTCCATTTCAATGAAACTTAGTGCAAAGATGCTCTAGGAGAAAGTACAAACCTGATTAGTTTGGGGTTAAAATTAATTAGCATAATAACTTATAATTTTTTGGGGTTCCAATCACATTTCAATAAAACTTGGTACATAGATGGTCTATTTACATTGCGCAGACCTCATTGGTTTTCCATTAAAATCTGTTCATATTAATTTTCTGATTTGCATTATTAGTTTTTCCATCACTATCACTATCTCTGACAAGTAATTTTGAATTATATTTAATGTGTCTCCAATACTCTCAGCACATGGGAGATCTTTCTAAGCTTTATTTGATTTATTGCTTGTTTTTCAGAAACATGCTCAGGTGTTTACAAAACCTTCTCCAGATTTCAACGGCACCTTGTAAGTATTACTTATTATTTAAAAGAAAGTGAAACTATAGCGGCTAAAATGGAGGTATAAACCAAGGGCCAACGTACCTCTGTCCCTTACTCATACCTCAAACATCTGAAAGAAGGTGTCCTGAGCTCATACACCAACTCACTGCAATGCATCAATGACTTGATTGTAAAAGTGCGTCCAATCAGAATCCTTAGTGCATCCGTTCATGAAACAAATATGGAAACAAATACTTATGTGTTTGACATCTAAACATTCTTTTAAAAATAAAAATAAAATATTTCGTAACATTGGCAACGAACGTGTCGCGTTATCTCCTTGTTATTGCCTATTTGTGATCTGTAAATTGTTCTTTTCGACTTTACAGACACAAAACCACGTACAATATAGAAGCGTCTCCAGAGAAATGCCTTGATCTTATATACGATAATGCTAAACATGCAAAGTTTGATAGATCTATAAAAGACCAGACGACATTGAAACAAATTGGTGACGTAAGTTGCTGTTGTTTTGTTTTCACACCGCTTATGACATTTTGTCATGTGTGCACGACGTTTGCAGACTGGGTAATGTTATATTATTGCTACTATAACTATGAATGAGTAAAGCGGCGTGTACACAGTGGAACGCTATATAGATTTTAAACTGCCAAGCAAATGACTTATAATTGGTAACAGGAATTATTTGACGGATATTAAATATAATTGACACAAGGATATTATATCATATTATACACATATTGCATTTTGCAGGGCATGAATATAGTTCGATCGCTGACGCCCTCTATGATGGCGGGACTGATTTCGTCCAGGGATTTTATTGACTTGATTTGTTTCAAAAGAATACCAGAAAAGAATGTGATCGTAGTGTACTGTAAGTATTCTGCTCGTAATTATCTAATGTATTTTTTTTCTGCTGGACTTTAAACTCTGCAACGTTTTCTTATGACATATGATCAAAATGCCATTGAGGTCTCAGAGGGATCGTTTTCTTTATTACTCGTTGGAAATGCCATAACGTGAAGGAGCGTTGTTTTAATCTTATTATTTCACAGTTGTTATTGTCTCTCCATTGGCCACCGTTTGCATCAGCGCATCCAGGATGGTACGACCATGTACAGTTTTTACATCACAACCCTGTGATTGCGCACTATTTTGTTCGGAATCTTGGTATCGCGACTATCCAAAATAGAATCACTTATGAATACAACGGGATATCACGGGACAATGCCAGATACATACTCAATGTCCCATGTAACTTAAGCCTTCGTTGTAAGCATATGATATACACGGGTTCGGCGGATTTTGCATAGTTCCAATTCCTGTATTTTCTGATGTAAAATTTCAACCTCAAAAATTGTAATTATAAAATCAAATCGTGTGTTTGTAACTGCATTGTTGTATCCTTGTCTATCAAGAACTTTTAAGTCGATTTTCGAGAGAACAAATAGTTTACACTTTGAATAGCTTAAGATAAATTTTAAACAGTCGTGTTTATATTCTTTATAGATGTAAGTGTCGAACATCCAGATTACCCAGAAACCAAGGGTGCCGTGAGAGGTGTCACCTACCCATCAGCTGTTTTTCTGTACAACGTTGACGGGTAAGCCAGTAAATGCAATCACCATAGTCTGACAATGGGAGCTATTTGTCACGCATTCAGTGTCTAAGACTGTTCGGGTATTTATGAACGTATAGAAATTATTTGGGGGTTTTGTTTTGTCCGTCACGCAGTATTCCTCTACGCCATTATTTCATCAATCGAACATTTGTTTTTCCCCACCTCAAAGATGAGATGATTTCTTGTTGTTCACACAGGAACCCAAACAAGACGCGTGGCGTGAACATTACCCAGTTCGAAGGCCACTTGTCACCAAAGTCTTTAGTGGAAAAATTCATTCCTGGTACTCAGCTTGACTTCGTCGAGGACCTTGCCAAAGGAGTGACACAGTTGTAGAACTCAACAATTTCGCAAAGCAGAGTAGACAGGCAAGACGTTACCCGGCAATCAGAAAAGACAGTCAAGCTGAAACGGCGCGAGCAATGCAAAAACAGGGTGATTACGACTCTGAAATAGTGTTTATTCGTATCAAAAATTGTGACAACTTGATTAAATAAATTACATATAAATTACAAAAATATTGTTCATAGGTTACACAAGTGTACGATGAGCGATATACGATTTTACTATTATCCAGACAATATAAATGTACGATATACGATGATACTATTGGCCAGATAATTAAAATAAAGAATTTGGTGTACGATACATAGTTCTGTGAAATATGCTTTGATGCTAGAGTGCACATGAATAACACTGACCCTGTGAATATATCAGCAGTACAGATTAACTTCAAGCTTTATCAATTAATGTGCGGACCCTATTCGATAAATGTGTCAAGTATATCTCCTGGCGTGATTGTTACCGATATTTGTAAAACTAAGAGAATTTAATATGCATACACTGCCTGTACCCTCTAGTTCAATGCAAGTATTGCTTATCAACAATTAAACAAAGTCAATTGATTTCAATATAATTACTGTATGTGTAGATGCAAACAATGCTTTAATAGTGACTTAAATAGAATATGTTAAGGTAGAGATGCAGTTTACCTGACAGGTATTTTAATTGGTTAATTAGGAAACCAAGATGACCTCCCTTGTCCACAAAGCTATATATTTTCGGAAAGCTTATTGTATGAATTGTTAGTATTTGTTTTTTATGGACACTGTAGTTTGAAATATGAACAAAAATGTGTTTTTTTGGTCAAAAGTGATTAAAAAAAAAATAGCTTCTAAACCAAGCTTCTGTTTCCTGTCAAAATTGGTTTATGGGTACATCTGTTTACTATGGAAAAAGTGCCGTTTTGGAACCTGTCTACCAGTTGTCAATTTTGCAGGGCAGCAGCTCAAATTTCACTACTTCAAGTTTATGCATAAATTAACACCCAGGCTAGTTGTCTGTACGATTGCTGTAACACTGTTCAACCAAAAACAATGCCTGATAAACACATTGTCAATCATTTGTGAAAATTTCAAAACAAAAGGTCAAAGCGTATGGGAGTTATTTTTTTTAAAGTTCTGGGATGTGCACTAAAAAGAGGCTGAGATAATTGCTAATTTGCATAACACTTCACTCAGTAAGAAGTTTGCTAATGTTCATAATTAAAATGGCTGTAACAGTTCAAATTTTAAATGTATTATCATTTTGTTAAAAGTTAAATATAGTGCATAATATGGAGATCCCGTCATTTCTTTTTTCACCATGTTTCTTTTTTTATTATTTATGTACAGCCTTGCTAAATCTTGTTAAGCATTCAAACGAGATAATGTTTGCTCTTGTTATTTATATTTTAAAATCGTTTTTTGAGTATGACCCACTATTCACAATTCTACAAAATTTTAACAGTCTATAGACAAGACTGTTTGGATAATAAAAGGCAAAAAAAAATTCACTCCCAAGTGCCCACGAACCTGCATCTCTACCTTAATTTGAGAATATTGAATTATTCTGCATTATTATATTGATTAGATTACTTTAATTATGTATTCTATCGATGCAAGACAAAAATAACTCTTCAAAAAAGACAACAAATATGTAATATCAAAGTATGTCCCGGATGAGAGTTGACACTGATTAATAAGTGAGTTGTGTTGATGAGAAGTTAGGCACAGGTGACCGCACCTTTCCTCATTGCCATTCCATATTCTAAGAGCACGGATGGGTAGAATTTTTCAGCTAGTGATTTGGGACGGAGTTTAGCATCAAACTGTGTGATGACCACTGCTTTACACTTGTCCGGTTCTCTGCAAAGAAACAATGAAGACTATATATCATAATAAATCAACACAGTAATCGTTTTGTAATTTAATGACAACAGCGAAATTAACGATAAACAAAAATAAAATATTGAGTTAGAAACAGCGTGCAGATCAATTTCATTGATATTCAGAAAAAAGCTATTATCATCTTATCAAGGAATCCATCATATCTATCCAATTCTCATTTGTATGCATTAATTTCGTGTCTTTTTCGTAAAAATATACCTACTAGTAGGTGTATATAGTTTCCTCTATAAATCGACCAACTAGCTATAGTAGGAGTATATAACTTTCCCCATAAACCAACCTACTCGTAGGTGTATATAACTTTATTCGTAAACCAACCTACATGTACTAGTAGGTATATACAGCTTTACCCGTAAATCGAACTACTAGTAGGTATATATAACTTTCCCTATAAACCAACCTACTAGTAGGTGTATATAACTTTCCCCATAAACCAACCTACTCGTAGGTGTATACAACTTTACCCGTAAATTGATCTACTAGTAGGTGTATATAACTTTATTCGTAAACCAACCTACTAGTAGGTGTATATAACTGTACCCGTAAATCGACCAACTAGTAGGTGTATACAACTTTCCATATAAATCAACTTATTAGTAGGTGTATATAACTTTTCTTATAAATCGATCTATTAGTAGGTGTATATACAACTTAAACTAGTAATTTAATCACCCAATGTTTGTATAATTCATCGAGAGCTAGAATATACGTAATAACTTACCCTTCGATAGGAAAGATAACCGTACCAGACGGGTAATTAATAGCACGTACGTATTTATCTCTGGGTGGACATGTCTCATACTGCACTGTTTGGTCTAATGAAACACAATTGTACGTGGTTGTTATAATAAAATCGCCAAGCTGCTTTAAATAAAGGACTGTTTCATTTTTACTTCTAAAACAAAGTAAGCTGATGAAGTGACAGTAAGAAAACAGAAACATAACGTAACTTTAATACTAGTAACCATGGCCATTAAAAATCTAGAATAAATAACGAACGGATTGATGAATATAACGATAAATTAAATCTAGATTAAAAATTCCATTTTGGGTGAAAATACCGGCTAAAATGTAGGTGTGAACATTTTTTTTTTTACCAAAAATGAATAAGAACAACGAAATCACAATAATTAAATAAAAAAGAAACATTAATATTCATGTTTTTCGAATGATTCTATAATAATTAATAATGTACTGTATTTATGTCATTTACAAAATAATGTAACATAAATTGTATAAAAGTTTCTTAAAATAGTAGAACAGCAACATAACTAAGCAAAATTTGAAGAGCAAAATACTAACCAAACTCAATTATTACATATTAATTATTAATAGCTAATGTGTTCTTCATTTAACACTAAATGTATTGTATTAATCTAAATTAATATATACCTCTCATAGATAAGGATAAAATAATTTGTATAAAAGTTCCTAAATAATAATGCAGTATTATATATAGGGTAAATGTAATACTGGATAGATTTGAAAACATCGGGAAAACTACACTTTTTGATTTATGCTAATAATGAAAACTACACTTTTTGATTTATGCTGATAATGAAAACAAGATATCAGTTTTCTACACTTATCTAATTAGCAGTTATCGGCACCGTAGTAGTTACATTAAAATTGAACTTGATTGACATTTCATAGTGATATGGAGATGATCAGATAACATTTTTTAGTTATTGTAACCACAAGAAAAAGTTTCACGATGGAAACAACAACAACATGAACAAAAACAACGAAGACAGACATTTCCCCTCATACGACTTGAACTTATGCTATATTTAGAGATTGCGGATGTCGCTTTAGAGAAGCCGTGTGTACTCACAGTAAACTATAATAAGATCTTTTTCTGGAAAGCTGGCAGTTCCGAAAATATTACAGAAGTCACGTGGTGATATCAAACCCATCATTGCAGAAGGTGAACTAGAATGTCGAACTTCGCAACCCTGTAAGATAACACATTGAATAGTTTATGTACCTTTCAAACTCTAACTGACATTCTTGTTATTCTCCGTCGATTCACTGATCCTAATATGACATTTGATTTTCTTGTATTTCAGTCTTGTTTGAAATAGTAAATCTTGTGGGGACATTTTTTAAAAATCAGATGCACTTGGTAGAGGGTATGATCGTTTTTACAGGCTTCTAACCACATATGACCAATCGCCTTTGTAAATCGCTTTTTATCAACTAATTAGCCTGCAAGAACGTTCTGAATGATCGCTGATAACGCTTATTCTGGACCTCTACTTTCAAACATTAAATACCTCAGATAAAAGCAGCAATAACAGTTCGTGAAATGAAGTGGAAACCAGCCGACCTAGTTCTTATGCACGTTGTCATATAAGTATATAATTTTGCATGGAAAATTCAACTCGCGGTTGAATTCGTTCTGAGCATTCGACCAACTCAATAGAAGCAAAACATTGATCAAATTACTGTGTCAAAAGTGGTTAATAGTTATTGATTTTGAAATGAATCATCAACATGGGAAGAAAAGATATTTTTATAAAACAAATGTAAAAAGTAGGCGTTTTAGAACTATTTTCATAGGAAGCCGTTTTAAATCATTATCTAATAGAAAAACAATGTTATTTATTATAATTACCCTTATCAATTTGCAACTAATATTACCACATGTAACTTAACATCATTTTGAGATATGCTGAGACTACGGTAATTGTGACCAACCTTAAAGATGCAATATTGACGAAAACAATAGTAATTGTGTCCAACCTTAAAAATGCAATATGAACGAAAAACAATAGTAATTGTGACCAACCTTAAAGATGCAATATGAACGAAAAACAATAGTAATTGTGTCCAACCTTAAAAATGCAATATGAACGAAAAACAATAGTAATTGTGTCCAACCTTAAAAATGCAATATGAACGAAAAAACAATAGTAATTGTGTCCAACCTTAAAGACGCAATATGAACGAAGAAACAATGGTAATTGCGACCAACCTTAAAGATGCAATATGAACGAAAAACAATAGTAATTGTGGCCAACCTTAAAGACGCAATATGAACGAAGAAACAATGGTAATTATAGTAATACTTTTATTTGATACTTTCCATACTGTAAAACAAATCATGATAAAACTGGTGAAAATAAAAATGGTGAAATACATTTAAGTTGTAATATTTGTTTGATGACAAATCTAAAACAATATTACGCATGCGCATTGATTGTTATTTTACGTACAAAAACAACCGCTGCACATTTATATTGGAGAATTTCATTTTCGAACGAATACTCAGATGTATGCCACGAAAACAGTGTTTTCATGTAATACATTACAATCCAATGTATAAAGTATCAAACAACAATACCAAAAATACATGTTCTCGTCGATATTACATCTTTAACTCACCTCTTCAATAGTTTTCAATATTGTAATTTCCTTCTGGTTTTTGTTCCATTTCAGGTGCTTGTCTTTGTTGAATACTATTTCTTGTGCTGTCCGTGGACTGCAATCCATTGTTGTGTCAATCCTGTATCTGTTAATTAAAAAAACATTAAATGTTGTGGGAATGTGCTAATACGGCGGAGTCCCGTAATGTGTAATGTGTTCGGAACAAAGTTATTGTGCACTTGTTATGTTTCAAGCTCGCTGCTTAATTTCTATTTCCACATTCTTCAACATTTAATGTTTTGTTTGCAGATATTTACATATTATAGGGATTTATCAAATTATTAGTATAGAATTCTTAACTTTATCTTCAAAAGTTTATTTTTTATATGAATACGTGTCAAATGCTATGCTCTAATACTTACACATATCCGTCCCATTCACGTGATTTCTTGTAAGATACTTTGCCTTCCTTCTGTAAACAAATTAGTGCAAGAAACAAACACTGTAGTGACACAATGCGTTCACTATAATTAGTTCGATGTTCCGAGATATGCAAATCGTTTTGTGCATTTCTAACTCCAAATATTTATATGTAAATTGACGTGGAGACCGATGTGATGTTGATAATACATTAACATCTTTAAAGTGACCGGCAAAATGTATGTCATATTTATATGTAAATTGACGTGGAGACCGATGTGATGTTGATAATACATTAACATCTTTAAAGTGACCGGTAAAATGTATGTCATATTTATATGTAAATTGACGTGGAGACCGATGTGATGTTGATAATACATTAAAATCTTTAAAGTGACCGGCAAAATGTATGTACAATAAAGATTTTGTTTTCAAATCAACAGCAAGCAAATTTGCTTTGATTATTTTGATAACACAAACCAAGTAATATTATGTGATAGGTGAATATAATTAACCGATGTGCTGGCTATACTAAGACTAGACGTGATGTGCAATTGCAAGACAATCAAAGCTGTGGAATTTTAGTAATACTTAGATAACAACCACACAATATTAAATTGTAATGACCCGCATACATATAAGGTTTAATCAATTTCGACCCAAGTTTTGGTTTCCATATTAATTCATCGATGATAGGTCGTTGGAGATATCACCATAGCTCACCTCTCAACTGTATTTGCAATTTGTCATTTTATTTTAATCATTAACTCAACAACCCTTTATCATTTCTTTCTTTTTTTTCTTTTTGGTTATTGACGACTTGACTGATAACCGGTGTATATTTATATACAGGTTATTTCTGTTTTTTTTTTATTACAAAACTGTCCTCTTGTATTAATGGAGACATCATTTAGCGATTACCGCCCGCAACCAGGACTCTTTACGTATGGCCTTTATATATTTATAGAAATGTTGAAGTAATAGTTATAGAAACAAAAAGTGTGGACAGAAATATTAAGTTGAGTCGGGCCACTACAGGGGTACACTTAAGAACGATGTGCGTCTGTTTGCTCTAAGGGACGAGCCATTGCCGGAATATCTAGTAAAGAACGATGTGCGTCTGTTTGCTCTAAGGGACGAGCCATTGCCAGAATATCTAGTAAAGAACGGGGTGCAGCTGTTTATTCAAAGGGACGGGCCATTTTTCTAGGATTCCTGGTTGAGAAGGGTATGCATGGGTATGACGAGCACATGAACACCTATTTTACAATCAGATGACAAAAGTGTGCAGAAAAAAATAAAGTATACCGGGGTGAAATGATATATATCCCATAGGTTGTAAAATCATTACACCAATCGATACTGGATAAGTAATGGTGCATCAAATCCACAGTAAACTTTACCACCTCGGCATTTTTTCCCGCCCGTAGTTGTAATGTAACAACATCTTTCTTTTCTGCGTTTGGGATGGCATACTAATGTTGGTCTATGTGTTCAAATCATCGTAAGACCCTATGATCGTGGTCAATTTAATAACAAGCGAACTAACTATGACGCCACCTGTAATATAATTGATTTGTAATCGATTTATCGTGAACCTACATTTCACATTTCTATTCCATTCATTTAAAAAAAATCAAAAAAAAAAAAAAAAAAAAAAAAAGGCGTTTTTTTCACCTGGTATGATATACAGAGGTCAAAATGTTATATTGAACGGCAAAATACACAAACTATCCTACCGTAGTTTTATGTACAGTCCATTCATCATCGTCCACGTAGTTTAATACTATTCTGATTGTCTCTCCAGCAATAGCTTTGTAATCTGCCATTTTTTCTGTTTATGTGAATTATACAACCAGATAAATTCGCTCACCGATGTACCCGCCAGATTCGTCGTGTATCGCACAATGATGTCAATACAACTGGCTAAGATATAATATTAACCATTAAGACAATACTATCTGACTACGTCGTGGCCTGAATGTCATTTGTGTCCTTGGTAACACAAAAATGATTGCATCGTATTCTACTGAGTTCATCTAAACAACCATCCTACCCTTCCAAAGTCTAGTCAGATTTCAATCGTTTTACATATAAGGATATCTGATATACACCCATTGCAGTGTGACCAATGTACAAGGTGGATATGACCTACATCTCGTTCTTCCATACAGTCCGGCCAATTTACAAGGTGGCTGTGACCCCGAATGTTCAAATCTACAGCAAGCAAATTTGCTTTGATTATTTTGATAATATTATGGGATAGGTGAATATAATTAACCGATGTGCTGGCTATACTATGACTAGACGTGATGTTCAATTGCAAGATAATCAAAGCTGTGGAATTTTAGTAATACTTAGATAACAACCACACATCACGTGAATTGCGTAGATGTACCCCCAATGACGTCAGAAATCGAGCGAACATAGCTGCATCATTCCTAATTGCCGTCTCATATTCTAAGAGCACGCATGATTCAATTCGTGTTTTCGGGTAGCCTCAACATGGGTTGTTTCACTGGTATCCGACTGTTTTACATTTACTCGATACTTCACAAAGAAACATATTATTATTTACTGCATCGAGGTAGCCAACGTAATAAACAATACAATGAATATCGAAAATGCATTATTCATAGAGCACGGACAAAACAGAATTCGCCTGTCATTCGATCGTTGTACAATATGCAAATGAACAACAAATAGAACTGAAAAGGCTAACGATAAACACATAAAAATTAGTAAGTAAACGATAAGTAAATACAACTAAATAGGCGAACGATAAACAAACATATCTTACTAAGCAAACGATTTATTTTTATTTTTTGCGGGCTGAATGGGGGGGGGGGGGGCGTCTCCCACTAAATCCGCGCGTCATCTCGGCTTGTGCCGAAAGACTTGGACCTTTGCTGCCTGAACGGAGCGAAATCATGCCCTCTGAAAAAAGTTTAAAAAAACTAATACTGATTCATACTAGTATGACATGGCAATGGAGTGAAGTGCAGCGAATCTTAGGGATCATTTTCCAATTTTTGCTGTTTTTAAACATTTACGTCATATATTTAACACAAATCCAACAAATAGTTACAAACATGACATTTCTTTGTTTAATCTGAATCATTCAAAGCGGATGTTGCAAAAACGTCATGGATACCAATTTATGAAATATCAGATCCAAATTTGGCCTACGACGCCTTTTACAATCCGTTTAACAACGTTGTCGCTAAACATGTCCCAATGATTAAAACTCGTTTTTCGCCCAAATCACTCAAAAAGCCCTGGATTACTAAGGGACTGCTAAAAATAAACACAAACTATTTTCTAAAACAAAACGACATTCTGTCAGCTCAACAGTACATAATCAGTATATAAAGTACCGTAATATTCTCTGTAAACTGTTGAAAGCTGCCAAGAAGTCGTATTTTCGTGACAGATTTTGCACCTCCGCTGGCAATAATAATAAAACATGGCAGGCCATTAATAAAATAATGAATGGAAACATGTGCAAAGCTGGAACCCCTCAAAAATTAAAATCAACCACCAAACCAGATGAATTTGTTACAAAGAGTAAGGATATTGCACATTTGTTCAATTCTTACTTTGTTAACATTGGCCCAAAGCTTGCTTCGGAGATTACCTGTAACACCAATTTTAATGACTACCTTGGCAACAGACAATCAGAGTCTTTTTTCTTTCGCCCTGTCTGTGCACACGATGTCTTAAATGAAATTGACAAATTTGACATTCGTAAATCCGTTGGTTATGACGGTATTCACCCAAAACTTGTGAAAGTGGCTGCTGAATATATTGCCGAACCAATCGCCTATATTATAAATTGTTCCTTGTCGAAAGGTGTATTCCCTGACAAACTGAAAAAAAGCACGGGTGACTCCCATTTTCAAGAAAGGGTGTGCTTATGAAGTTGGAAACTACAGGCCGATCTCCATTTTACCTACCTTCAGCAAACTATTCGAATCATTCGCCAATAAACAGTTGTGTGCCTTTACAATCTGATTAAAATAAGATCCTGGTTGGCTTAATTTTTAAGCCACCTTTCACGAACAAAACCATTCTTGCAGCAAAATAATTGTAACGTCAACAATAATTAAAATAAATAATAATTATTGTAAATAATTAAAATAAATAATAATTATAGTAATTATATCAAAAAAAAATTTTTTAAAAAAATTAAGCCAACCAGGATCTTATTTTAATCAGATTGGTGCCTTTATGGACAAATTTAAAATTCTTTCAGAAAATCAGTACGGGTTCCGAAAGCAATATAGCACTAAACTCGCCTTAGCTGATCTCACAGCTGAAATCTCAAAAAGAATTGATGAAGGTTTTGTCACCCTTGGTGCTTTTATAGATTTGAGAAAAGCTTTCGATACCATTGATCACAGTATTTTGCTAGCTAAACTACAACAATATGGGATTAGAGGGTCAACTTTGAACTGGTTTAAAACTGTTTTGGACGGTCGGCAACAATATGTCAGTACTAAAAACAATGATTCTGACTGTGAAACTATTTCCACAGGGGTACCACAAGGGTCAATGCTAGGCCCTCTTCTTTTTTTAGTTTATATTAATGACATTTCTCGATCATCCCCCCTTTTTTTCATTCAGACTATTTGCTGATGACACCAGTCTATTTTATTCCGTAAAAGACCGTCT